GTTGAATAAACTAACGCTTTCAGATTCACCCTTATTATAGACAGTGCATCAAGGTTGAAACTGTACTGATGTATCTAACAGAGATTCCCTGTGCACTGATCATGATTTCATTCCATCCTCGTCCCAACAAGGACAATTGCATGCCCAGATGATTTGGAGCTGGTGGTAACGGAAATATGCAGAGATTTCGTAATCATGTAATACTTACTCACTAGAAGACACTTCTGGGATCTATTGCCAACTAGTGGATGCAGCTATGATAAGAAAACAAACATTTCACGCCTGCTTCCAATTAGAAAATGGACAACGACAAGCCAGGCTGGTTGTGAATGCGTGGTGTTAATTTCCTTTTTGCCTATGCGTGTCACCATTTCTTGTGGACTACAGTCATACTAATTATCACCAGCAGGTAGTATGAATTTGTACTTTGTCACTTCATAACGGTGGCTGTCATTTGCTAGTCAAGTGTATCTCACTTGATGTGTTCACATTCTATCAGACAAATGGTGATAATCTTCTTATAGTTACATGGTGTCTTCTGTATATGTTTCACTTATACACCGCTCTATGTTGAACACTGTTTATTCAAATCTGTGTGTGGTTTGTGTGGCATTCGCACGCTGTTTTAATCTGGCCGTGGATCGCCCTTGAAACAGCTTGGTGGAATATCTGAACTGCATTTATGTGGAAATCAGTATACGCTCTCCAAGGAGAATGCAAGGGCTAAAAAATATAGGTGTGCGCTGCTACTACAGGCGAAGTAGAATAAGGCGGATATAAAGGAAAGTGATTTAATGAATTAATAGAGGTTCATTGAGAAAAGAAATGACATCATGTATGCACTGTAAAGGAAATGAACTGATTGAACACGTTTCTCAACACACCTGCATGAATCTGATAACACATATCTTCCTATTCGCTGTATACTGCTCAACATACTTCAGGAAACAGGCATTGACACAAGAGAAAGTAACAATGTATAAGAAAGAAGGGAATCACTGATTATATTATCGTACTTTTGACAAATCCTGTACTCTGTAACCTACGCGTTAATCTACCCTTTGGTTTATGCCACCGACATGTTGGCTTATAAATATTGCTTCAAGCCTCTGAGAGGAAATACACAAATAATTTACATGAATGTGCGTGTGTACTCGACATAGCGCTTCATTCTACATGTGATGGATTTGAATGACTGATGTGTTTCAAATGGATAACTGCTTGACAGTTCAATGATGTCATGCGAAGAACGTCAGGTGGATGATTTTGGTGTTTTTATGTTCACTCAAATAGATGTTTAGATTGTCGGTCTGTCAAGGCCTCACGCATAAAATGATGTGGAGTATTTGGGAATAAAATGTCAGTTGTGAACACAATACTCGAAAAGTGACTGAATTTCGGTAATGAGTTTGTCAAATTATGATTGTGAATTTACACGATTATTCGTTTGAGATAGTATTTCCACTGTTGTAGTTTCAGTGACAGCATACCAGATTCAGAATTGTGTTGAATTAAACATTTTTGGCAGAATACTACTCGACATTCAGAAAATTCCCGCTTTCGTATTTAGTCGACAACAGAGTAAATTTCTTCCTTTTAGAGATACTGAAGACATATGCTTACATGACAAATAATTTACTTAGAGAATCTAAGCTTTCAAGTCAAACAGCACGCATATTCTGAATTTGTCGCTAATAAATGTCAAACCAACATCTTTTACGATTAATTGACAACGAATACTGTTGACAGGCAATTCTATGTGAATGATGAGACCAACATATGTCGGTGATTTAATCGTAAACTGCTCACCAACCACGTATGCGGTTGGTGTTGGATTCCCTGTCGGCAAATTCAGGCATATCATCTGGTTTGCTGGTGATTTGTAAGTTCGAAATGATAGGAGACTAGCCCGAATTAGGTGAGAACGTGTGCCCTCCAATAAACAACCACCTTCCACCAATCAAATAACCCACTCTTCAAATATTCTGATTATCTTTCGTTTTATGGATCAGTGTTCTACGCGTATTCCTCCCTCGGCATCTCTATTAGAAAATCTTCATATTTTCCCTGGAATCCACATAGCTGAGTTAATCTGCTTTCTCGAAACACGAAATATATTTTCAATGGAAACTCAGTTTTGCGTCATCCTACGCATGTTCCTCGATGCTTCTCAATTTATGTACACAGTCTATGAATGTTTGCATACTCGGATGTATAAGAATCCAAAACTATACCATTTGTCTCATTAACAGTAAGATGAGTGGTGAAACAGTTACTTTAGCCTATTCGTGTTTGAAAGATGATTAATTCAACGGACCATTATTTCACCTCACAGATAAGATTTTAACACGTTTAGAGAATTGATCACATCATTTTTCCCATTCAGGTGCTCAATTCAGTTCACCTTATCTTCTTAATTTTCTTGATCACTAAATATGTGTTCAACCTCACAATTTCTTGCTTCATAATTTATCTCTTTGTGCATTGGACAGAAGCGACTGAAGTCAAAGCTTCGTAATTAAGCACAAAAAATGACTGAATTCCGTAAATATGCACCCACATTTTCAGGTACCTCAGATGAATGGCTTTGAATGCATGAGCATTGTGTCATGATTATAACAGCAGAGCTGTGTGAAAGCCGACCCGCTGTCAGATTAAACGGACTTCTGATGTCACACAACGAATAAAGGGATTCAAACAAATAGTGTTCAACAGAAAACGGTTTATAAAACAAACATAAACAGCAGATAATGTTTTACTACATGAAAGTATTTGATTTCTGTGAAGTGAGTTGTTGAAACATTGGTTGAGATAAACTTCAATGACGCTCAAAATGTCATGTCTATGAAGCAACAAAGATAACCTCATACCACTTCCTAGTGACAAGTAGTATGAACTGAACACAAAAGACAATGACAAAGCAGAGAAAGGAAGGGAAAGAGCAAGCAATAAAGAAATTATTAGGCTGATATTTCGTCACAATTCAATTATTAGTTTAATCGGCACTGTCCTTCAGTACTTCATGCAGATAATTTAAAACTGTGTTCTCAGGAAATGAGTTGTAAATTCTTCGGAGGATATTTGTTTATGATATAGTAATCCAGTAGTAGGAACGGAAACTGTAGGAATGCCAATGGCACAGAAATTATGTTACGTAAACAACCATTACCCAGAATCAATACCAGCAGGTAAGCATGAGTTATAACTCTATCCTTCCTTGTCGAATGCCGTTTCATTCCTTAATAAGTGCTATACAACACGGATTGAATGAAGTATATGTAAGAGAGAGATGTGATTTCCACTACATCACTACATCATCATGACATTCGATGAAAATGTATGGTAACTTGTGCTCACAAATTGGGGGAATGTCCATGGTAACTAAATGCAGTTTATAGTTAGTTACTGTGGTGAAGTGAAGATCTGGACACGAGATGCTTCTCAGTAGGCAGAGAATCGATCCACCAAAAAGGAAGCTTCTGTTTCCACCTATGTGTTATCTTGAGGGTTTACACCAACTTCAAATCTCACCACCTCATCTTCAACAGCCTGATAATATAGTCAATAAGGCAAGAAGTTAGGAATAAATTGGACAGATAAAAAGACACTAGAAGATCTCGACTTCATGTACATTATATATCTATTGTCTCACAAATGCGAAGAATTAATGACAAAAACCAAACAGACAGTAGAAGAAAGACAGTAATTGAAGTGGATGTAGAAGAAACGAAGCTGATGAAAATAACCGACCAATCAACCAACCACAACAACAACTAGCAACAATCACTATCAAGGGGAGAAATTCGAGCGATGTCACTCCATTCACTTATCTCAGCAGCATCGTTTCAAATACAGCCGGCATGGATGAAGATGTCATCACAAGAACCACAAAGGCAAGATACACCTTCACCACTCTGAATGCAGTTTCGCAGCCTTCTACTTACTGCGTAAAGAAGAGAATCCAGATTTTCAACAATAATCTGATCACTGTCTATCGAGTTTGAAGCTTCCTGTCAACTGGTATCATGTAACCTTCGCAAGAATGTTACAGTTCTTCTATACATCAACCAAATATTTTCTCTAGGCCAAAATCAGCTGACGCGAATCTACAGAAATGCATAATGGTCCCGTCTTATTCCACATACTGATGACTGGAGTGCACTGAAAGGTTTTGTTTCAGGAACGGGTATGTTTTGATGGAATTAAGTGGAAAATTCACTTCAGTTTAGCTGGAGTCTTCACGAATGCATCAGCATTCTACCAAGTGTTAATATTCATGTGTTGCAAAATTCGCCAATTCTTTTTCACTCATCATTGTTATATCTCACATAATTTACACGTTGATGAATTAAACCTACATCTCGTTACAAGTCATAAATATTTTGCATCAACACTGAGAGTATAACTGAATTCATCCATGTGATGTAATGCTGATGAGAGTCAAGGGTAGATGACAATAGACTGACTGCACTCTCTTGAATTATGCAATTTCAACATGATTAGTTTTCAATATCTACTCCTTGATACTAGCTTCCCACGTGTTGTCTTGATATGTGTAAGTTGTAATTCTATGAATTTTGTGTGCCTGCTCTTTAAACTCTCCACACTGCAATCGCCACATTAGAGCATTCCTCAGTTGTTATGCCAGTTATGATTGGTGATTAACCTCATCTGATTGCTGAATGACATCGTGTATTAGTTGCAAATTTCAGAAAGAGATATTTGAAAGTCTTGTTTCTTGAGGGTTGCACGAAATAGAGCGTCACATAGTGTCATTTGTTCATAGACAAAATCCGTATTGTTACTGATTGAACAATAGTCTGACAGTGCTGTGAAGTCTGCTCATACTGTGATATAAATTATTCACTAAGACCGTATGAAAGGCCTTTCTGTGATAAGTATCTACAATTTTCTCTCAGAATATTGCAAATAGGACGAATCCGATCTGTTCATTTTGTCGGCGCTCTGCCATACTCTGAATGTTTCAGGGTTTTACTTACTTCCATAACGTGAGTTCGACCATGATGTGACACCACAGACGAAGTGATCACTGCCAGACATTCTCCTGTTAACTCCAAATGTAAGAACAAATCTCGTCCGTATGAATTACTCCAAAATAAACCCTGTAGTACTCCTTTGTCTAATGGATTGACAGATGTGAACTGATAATATCACTCGTGAATATCCAGGTTAGCAGTATTTTATTGGGCAAGTGCACTTGTTGTACAATATTATGAAGAAGACATCTGGAGTAGAATTCGTCAGTTTGGTTGTAACAGATGGTCTTGGAAAAGTCATATGAACTGGAGAATGTCGACAAATGCAACATTTGTAAGAAAGGAAAGGGAGCAGAGATAGATCGAGTGGTCAACAGAACTCAAGCTGGATTGAAAGAGAAGTGACACGAATAGGTTGGATTGCATTTTGTGGACTGCCTACCGAAGATTATTCACAGACTGGAGGAGAATTCAGTTGGACCAACATGGAAACTGAATAGATCTGTTGTTGATTGTTTGAGCCTGTAGTGTAAAATATTACCTAACACAACAATACACTTATTAGATAACTGGAATTTACAATTAGGATTAATTGACAGAGACACTGAAATCCACTCCTAATGAGAAGCAGGTGAGAAGAGAACGAGAGAACAACAGCAAAATGACTGTTAATCCTATCACGAAGAAAACTCATCTAAGATGCATGCTCCACGAAGTCACAATTTGAGGTCATTCAAGTACAATACAAGCAAACTACTCAGGTGAATACCATAATTTACTGAATTGACCCTGATACGTGATGTTTGCTCTCAACAGGTCATCTACACAAACACATTTACGCATATATAAGCACGAGTGTGTGATTGAGTTTCGTGTTGATTCAGCTGCTTGTGATAGTGGTTTCGAACGTCTGAGGACGTGTACACAGAGTGAGTCGATTAACGGTGTGGATTTTGTGAGTAGACGATAGTCATTCTCACCAATCGCTTCTATTGTTGTTTCATTCATATTCACGTACATGCATCCATCATTACAGCACATACACTAAGCATTCAACATCATCTCTTATCTATATATTTTCATCCCAACAGAACCACAATGCGGCTTATTGTGTTGTTACTGCTGAGTTTGGTTTTCTATGAACATGTGTTGACCGAACCGTTACCTGTCAATTTGGATGTTCAAGGTAAGCGAAAATACATGTTTTTATCTGTGTGGTTGTTTTCCGATTCAATATTTGGGAGCCTGCATTCAGTTAGTGATTTTTCCACTAATTGTTGCCATTATTAATTGTCTGATTCTGTTGAGAATTACCGAACTGAAATTCAAATATATCTCACTATGTGATAATCCATACAAATTAGATCATCATCATCTGATGTTCATTGTCGACCATCTGAGTCAGTCATGGTGAACATGCATACCTGACATATAGAATACATAATAAGCAAGGTAAAATTTATAATCGAGGGGTATATTTTGCTGAGAGGCTGTACACATAGCCTAATAGATGAGACGTGTATCACTCAGTTTCTCTCATATATATCTAATTTTTATCGTCCTGTCATTTACATTTAACTTTACACTACTCACCACAAGTAAGTATTATGAATTTTAATTTCATCATTTTATGCTCGGAAACATCAATATTGATTTCCACTTAATTTGTAGATATTCTGTTCGGTCGAGAGTAATTATCTTCTAATCTGTATATGGTATTTCCTTTGGATTCCGCTTTTATGTTCCACTCTCTCACTTGAACGATATTTATTCGAATCTCGTTATTCTCGAACAGTACATATACGCGCTGTTTATTGCTACTTGTAGATTCATCATTGCCACTTTTTCTAACTGATCCGCAGTGACAGCTCATTGAAAGTACGTCCTGTGTGAATGAAACCTGTGTTTTCGATTTTACGCGTAAGTCAAACATTTGGTTAGATTAATCGACAGTCTAACCACAAGTTATCATTCAGGATTTAAATGGAAGAAATCCACAACATCCCTATGGATAACTCTGATTGTAGGCCATAAAGAATACTCAGCCAACTGGAATTTTATACGGAAGACTGCTCAGTGAATTCTCACTCAACTAAAATAGACACACATTCAAGATGTCTTGAAAGGGAATATGTATAATGGTGACAATATCATTAAATCACTGGTTAACAATCGGAATTACTGGCTTGGTAACTGTAATAGAGAGTGACTTTTGACTGAGTCACAAGCACATTAGAAATATATGTGTTCTCTGAGGTATAAGCATGTTCACTTGAAGTTGTCTGATGAAAAAAACAAAATATTTCAATTGATTGTGACATTTTTCACCAGAAATCATCAGGTTTACCAAGAGAATTTAAATACAGACGGCAATGATGGCAACACCACTGAAACTCCGAATACCACAGACAGAATCAATGAGTGTGATTTGAATGTTGTGAATGTGAGTGGTATGGATCAACTTCTTCATGGACGCTATTATGATGACGATGATGATGATTGTTATTACGATTGGAATGGAAGACTCCGTTGCCGTCGCAATGGTCACTACCGTCATCACGTGCGACTTTACAGGGTTGGATGTGACTACCATGAAGGAAACTACCACCACTGGAAACCATATTATTACCAACACCATCGGCATCATCACCACATTCCTCGTCATCATCGTTATCACAAACACCACAGATATCATTGACGCAATTGCCACATTCGTCGTCACCACCACAACTGCCATCACTGCCGTCATTACGGAAGACGTTATGGCTATCGAAGCCGTCGTCGCAGTCATTATCGTCACTATGGCAGTCATCGCAGCGGATATCGTCATCGATCATACCATCGTCGATCGTCGTATAGACACAGACGGGGTTGATTCGGTCGATTGTAAAATATCTATGATGAAGTAGAAGTATGTTTGTGTATTGAGGGGCACGAAATATCTTTCTTCACTGTCCACCCGATTATAGTCACACTTATTGGTTTTGTTCTGGTGTTATTTCTGAAATATATTGTGTGCTGTTTCAATTATTTCTGTCTTTTGTCATCAGTGTATATCTGAATTCTATTGACGCCAACACGATAATCAACGTGACAAGTGATGTTTCCGTATTCATCATTTCATCAACAAAATATTTTGTTTTTTGCTTGTATGAGAGGCGTATATATTAGTAGAAAATTAATTTGGTGTGAAGGCATGCAACGGATAAGCAAAACTAAGTTGACACTCACCTCACTATTTACCACCTTCCCCCATGTAGATTGTGAAACTCTCCTGATGCAAATACATACACTCACAGGTGATTCTCCAACAGTAGTGTCAGTCACCTACAATGTTCGGTGTTTTCTCAAGCAGATACCACGTGGTGACAACCAACAAGAATGATCACAAGAAGACGGGATCAAACTTGTGTCTGTGAGATTTAGAAAACAGAACAGGATTCGTTTATATCAGTATATCTGAACTTTATTTCAGTATTTCGAATACCAAAATGGATGTACAGAACATTCCTTCAGCTCATTGTCTTTTCATGAATAACCTTGTTTTAGAGGAATGTGTACATTGTATGTACCTTGTATCTATACGTTGCCCCAAAATTTCCTAATTAATATAGAAACCCCAAGCCGAGGACGAGAAAGTCAAGGAATAAAAAGGAATCCATCAGGATCACTCTGGACAAAACTGTACGAAGTGGAAGAAATTAGATGAATTATTATTCTCCCATTGAGTCCCGAGTGTAATATAGTCGTTCTAGAAAATATTCCTTTTATATCCAGCTCTCTAAGTTCCATACTAGCTCGGTACATGCTTGAGACCAAGCATTCATTCCCTCTTCATATTACCTTTCCCATGTGATTCAGGGATGCCCTATCCGTCACTTCCCGTTTGAGATCCTGTGTGACCCCTGAAATCATTTGAATATCTTCTTATATGTCTATCCATTCCATATCCTTATTTTCTGCACATCTCTTGAGCAAGTCATCCGTCAAAGTAGTCTCCACTTTACTCCATCAATGTTGAGTGCTCTTCTGAATTTAATGAGTGTAAAGTCACGTTTTTACTGATACTCTATGCTCTGTTCAATAACCTAATCTGATCCACTCATGTTTATTCTTTCCAGGGCCAAGTATGTTTCGGTTGGAGTTTTGCATCCAGAGCATCTTTTGTTTTCATCAAGATCATGTAGGTCAATATTCTACTTGGCAGTGGGAACAAGAACAAGATTTCTTCTCATTTCTTGAGAAGGCCTAAGTAACCATTCCTTATCAGATTCCAAAGGTAGCCTTCCTTCCAGTCGGTATATATCCTTCTTTTCGTTCCATTATGATCCCCTTTTCGGTATTCAGGGCTACTGATAGATTCCATCTGATCCTGCTGTTTTCATGGGTGGTTAACAGTACCCTCGTGGACCTCAAGAGTTGTTTTTTTGTCTAGGGATGGGGTTTCACTGACAGTTCCTTGACTGCTGGTTGCATTTCTGGACAGTTTTCAGGTGTTGACTGATTCAAGACTCATCCTAAATGATCAACTCAGTGCTTCATTTCTATCATCTTTCCGGTTCCTGGGCTCGCTTTACTACATTGTATTGACCTTATCTGTGTTGATCTTCTTTAAAATAGTGAACCAGTTATTCCTGAGTTTTCCAGTAAATGTAACCAGTTCTGCTTCAGTTGCCAGTCTGTCGTAGAATTGTCTTCTGACTTTCTGATCAGTCTTTACTTTTTGTTCAGTAAGTTATAGTCCGTGCTCGGCTTCCTATTCAGTTTTATATCTCAGTATCGGTCAACCGTTAACTTAAACATCCTCCTCTCCAGCTTCCACCTGTTTGTAGATAGCTATTCATTGTTTAATCTCTTATTCGTGATCAAGATATCTAGAGAGTATCAGGTTTAGGGGTTTTTGCTTGATTGGTTGGAGGTTTTCCGATGTTCACTAGCGACTGGTCCTATTCAGGCAGTTAACCCGAGTTTCTTATGAGGAGCCGTGAACAGTAGGGGACAGCAGGTTGAAGGTGAGGCAGTAACTCAACGAAGAAGACATTGAGAAGTGGTCACGCTTTGTCA